ACAGGGTTGTGCTCTGTTGCTCAGGCTGGAGTGCAGTGATATAGTCATAACTTACGCTCTGGGGCTTAAGCAGTCCTCCTGCCTCAGCCTCCCAAGGAGCTGGGACTATAGGCACACACCACCATGCCCAGCTAATTTTTAAATTATTTTGTAGGGATCTCACTGTGTTGCCCAGGCAGGTCTTGAACTTCTGGCCTCAAGCTGTCCTCCCATCTCAGCCTCCGAAAGTGCTGGGATTACAGGCATGATTCCCTGTGCCCTGCCAAACATATAGATTTTACTCTAAGCATAGCTCTGTCTACTTTCACAGTTTTGATATTTCTTTTCAGTGCATTATTTAATTCAAAATACTTTTGAGTCTCTTTTTTACTTAAAGGGTTACTTGAAATACACTGCTTAATTTCCTGACAATGGAACATTTTCTAGTTCTTTTGTAATTGTTGTCTAGCCTAATGCTAGACACAGAATATACTTTGAATAATTTTAGTCCCTTGATATTTATTGAATCTTGCTCTTTCACTCAGCATATGGGCAACTTTAGAAAATATTTCTTGTGTACTTGCAAAGATTATGTATTATCCTATTAGGTATAGTGTCAGTTAGATCAGATTTGCTCATCGTGCTCTTCAGATCTTCTATAGGGTACCAAAAGTTATAAGGGTGTATTCATGTATACTCAGAAGTGCCACCCCATTCCTGCACTTTCCATCTTGGTCACACCTCTCCCATGTGTAACCAATCTCACTGGACTCCCATTTCTACTTTATGGAGTTGTTTTGCACATATGAGCAGACACATTTGTATTTTCCTATTTTCCCCATTTTATTCAAAAGGTATGCTGTGGCTGTGATTTGCACTTTGGGTTTTTAACTTAATAAATCCTGGAAATCATACGTAGTCAATTATAGGGCTCTTCTTTCCTTTCCCCCCGCCCCCAACAGATTCATAGTACTCCATTATGGGGATGTACCATAGTTTATTCCATTAGTCTCCCATGAATGGGCATTTAGGTGTTCCCTAATACTTTGCAAGGCTGCAGTGAATAACCTTATGCATATGTATTTTCATGTTGTTGTTAAACATATCTCTTCACTTGGGATGATTGTAACAAAATACATAAACTGGGTGGCTTATAAACAACAGAAACTTAGTTCTCACTGGTCTAGAGGCTGGAAGTCCTAGATAAGAGTGACAGTATGGTGGAGTTCTGGTGAGGGCCCTTTTTTCCAGGTTTCAGACTGTGGACTTAGCTGCTCAGGCATATCTCTGGAGAGCAGAGACAGGAAGCATGCTCTTGGACTTTCACAAGGACACTAATCCCATTCATGAGGGCCTCACCATTATGACCTCATCTGGTCCACATTGCCTCCAAAAGACCCTACCTTGTAATGGCATCACATTGGGGAGTATGGTCTCAACTTACTAATTTTGGGAGCACACAAATGTTTAGTTTGTAACAGTGTATCTTTTCATAAATTTCTAGGAGTGGAATTGCTGGATCAGAAGGCACATGTACTTTTGTTATTGTCAAATTCCTCTTTATCCATATGATAGAAAATTCACATTCCCATGAGCAGTGTATGAGAGTTCCTGTTTCCCCACATCCTTACCAACAGACAGGGTACTGCTGTGACCTTTTTAAAAAATCGTCAGTTGTTTATGTATTTGTATTTTCACAGAGGTAAAATTCCCATAACATAAAATTTACCATTTTAACAACTTCAAAGTGTACAATTGAGTGTTTTTTAGTATATTCAACCATCACCATGATCAAAATTCAAACCATTTCTCTCATCCCCAAAAGAAACTCCTTACCTATTAGCAGTCATTCCCAACTCTGCCCTACCCCTAGCCACTGGCAGCTGGTAATCTTTCTTCTCTATAGATTTGTGTATTCCTTCATATAAGTGGAATCACAATTTGTGATCTTTCATGTCTGATTCCTTTTTTTTTTTTTTGAGACGGAGTCTCGCTCTGTCGCCCAGGCTGGAGTGCAGTGGCCGGATCTCAGCTCACTGCAAGCTCCGCCTCCCGGGTTCACGCCATTCTCCGGCCTCAGCCTCCCGAGTAGCTGGGACTACAGGCGCCCGCCACCTCGCCCGGCTAGTTTTTTGTATTTCTTAGTAGAGACGGGGTTTCACCGTGTTAGCCAGGATGGTCTCGATCTCCTGACCTCGTGATCCGCCCGTCTCGGCCTCCCAAAGTGCTGGGATTACAGGCTTGAGCCACCGCGCCCGGCCTCATGTCTGATTCCTTTGTAGTATAATGTTCTCAAGGTTGCTCCATGCTGTAGCATGTATCAGTGCTTCATTTCTTTTTTTTGCTGAACAATATTTCATTGTTGGGTATACCACATTTTGTTAATCTGTTTATCCAGTGAAGGATGTGGATATTTGGGTTATTTTCACTTTTCAGTGTTGTGGGTAATGCTGCTGTGAACATTCACATGTGAGGATGTTTCATTTTGTTTTATCTCAGGGTCTTTCTCTGTCACCTAAGCTGGAGTGCAGTGGCATGATTACAGCTCACTGCAGCCTCGACCTCCTGGGCTCAAGCAAGCCTCGGCCTCCCAAGTAGCTGGGACTACAGGCACATGCCACCATGCCCAGTTAATTTTTGTGGTTTTTGTAGAGATGGGGTTTTGCCATGTTGCCCAGGCTGGTCTTGAACTCCTGAGCTCAAGCAATCCACCTGCCTGAGTCTCCCAAAGTGCTGGGATTACAAGCATGAGCCAGTATGCCTGGCCGTGAGTTTTTATTTGGACATACATTTTCAGTTCTTTTGGGCGTATGTCTACCTAGAAATGGAATGGTAGGTTCACATGGTAACTCCGTGTTTAACCTTTTGAGGGGCTGCCAAACTATTTTCATAGCATTTGCACCATTTTATACTCTTCCAGCAATGTAGGAAGGTGTCAGTTTCTTCACATCCTTGCCTACACTTGGTATATCTTTTTAATTAATTGGATTGTCTTTTGCATTCTTTTCTATCATTTCCCCCCTCATTTTAAAAGAATTTCTGTATATGTATAGGGTATTAGCTTATTTCTGTGATATATGGTACCTGTGTTTTTCTTTTGTGTTTTTGGCATCTTTTGACTTGGTTTATGGTTTTCCTTTTACTGTGCTGTCATATCATTTTTTTTTTTTAACTAATTGGAAAGTGATTTGGATGAAAAGATGTTATTTGTGCTTTGTTTGATACCAACAGAGGGTTGGCCCTTTTCTTTGCTGGGCAGATAGTGGGGAGCTGACAGGGTCTGGCTCTGTCCCCCAGGCTGGAGAGCAGTGGCACGATCTCGGCTCATTGTAGCGTTCCCCTCCTGGGTTCAAGTGATCCTCCCACCTCAGCCTCCCAAGTAGCTGGGACCACAGGCTTGCGCCACAACTCCTGGCTCTTTATTGTATTTTTTTGTAGAGATGGGGTTTTGCCAAGGTGGCTAGGTTGGTCTTGAACTTTTGAGCTCAAGCAGTCTGCCTGCCTCAGCCTCCCAAAGTGTTGGGATTATAGGCATGAGCATCTGTGCCTGGCTGGATCTGTGGTTTTGTGTTTGTGTGTGTGTTTGTTTTGAGACAGTCTTACTCTGTGGCCCAGGTTGACGTGCAGCAATGTAGTCACAGCTCCCTATAGCCTCAACCTCCTAGGCTCAAGCTGTCCTCCCACCTTAGCCTCCTGAGTAGCTGGGACTACAGGAACACACTACCATGCCCAAGCTAATTTTTGTATTTTTTAGTAGAGACAAGGTCTTGTCATGTTGCCCAGGCTGGTCTCAAACTCCTGGGTTCACGCAGTCTTCCCGCCTCAGCCTTCCAAAGGGCTGGGATTACAGGCATGAGCAGCCATACCTGGCCTGCCATGATGGATCTGAGCAGGTATTGTACTCCAGGTTTACAAAGCTCCCTTTGCTTCTGCACCCAGCTGTTCTCATTGCAAGCCTGGGAATGTCCTGATATTATTCTGGTTTATTCCTGAGGTCTTACTCCTGTTTTCTAAATGCTTTCACTGTTTTGAGAGGCTCCTTCTCAGCTCAGGTTCAGGATTCAGTAACTGTCTTCAGGAGACAACCCGCAGAGTGTTTGACACAGTCTCCACCCTTCCTTCTCACCAGAATCCAAGATTTGATCTCTTGCTGCCAAAAGCTCTGCTGGTTTCTCTCCCATTAGTGGACTTTTCCTGGCCCTTCAAGCTCTGAAGGGCTCAGAATTGGCAAATGCCCTGTGGGAAAAAGCAGCCAGTTGTTAAGTATCATTTCCCAGTCTTCATCTGTGTCACTCATTGTCTTGGTTGCCTCAGAATGTCTTCGTCTTGAGCCCTTCAAACATTGTTTGGGTTAAAAAGATTTTTAATCTGGATTTTCGTTTTTCTCAGTGGGTGTTCACGCTTGTGCAGGCTATTTCTTCACACTCAAATAGAAGCTCTTTATCACACTTAAAAAATGTAATTGTGCATGCTTTTTTCGTTTTGTTTTCAGTTGCTCTCTGTCTGATTCTCCTGTTAACAGTGAGTTGGTTAAGCCAGGGACCTTATTTTAATTATAGTGTTGTTAATCACCAGTGTGTAGTGTATGTAATGACATTCATTGAATTTGTATTATACGAAGAAAGAACTTTTCTCTTAGGTAAAAGTTTTCAAAAGTAGGCAGCAAATTCACAAATTTGGCTTTGCTATGAGATTTTCCAACAAATATAAAGGCTATGATAATAAAAGGGGTGGGGATGGGGGTGTTATATTGTTTGTAGATACTTTTTGACACAGCTGAAATTGGAGTCCTGGCCTTTTAATAATTTGTTTAACAAATATTTATTCTGTAAATCAGGTCCTACTCTGGGTGTGGGGAGAGATAGCGATTATTTTAGTGGGTTAGGTCTCTATTCTCCTCAGGCTCCTTCTGCATATAACTTGAGAGAGTATAGGACATTTCGTATAAACATCAACATATCACATTGTAATTGGTAGATTTCAAGTATTATACACCAAAAATTATTTTGTTCTCTTAACAGAGTATGACAGATACCTAGCATCTAGCAAAATAATGGCAGCTGCTTACCTTGACCCCAACTTGAATCACACACCAAATTCAAGTGCTAAGACTCACCTGGGTACTGGTATGGAACGTTCTCCTGGTGCGATGGAGCGAGTATTAAAGGTCTTTCATTATTTTGAAAGCAATAGTGAGCCAACCACCTGGGCCAGTATTATCAGGCATGGAGATGCTACTGATGTCAGGGTAAGTACGTTTTTCCATGAGACATCTTTAATGTTTATTTAGGTTAAAATTTAATGGCGTGTATGAAAAAAGATAGTGTAATAATTTTCATTTAACTTATCAGGGACTTTTCATATTACAGAAATGTTATTTTTAAGATTTATTAGTTAGCATGTGACTGACCAGAGTTCTAATTGTTGTAAAGTTTCTTAGAAAAATAGTGACTGAATCATATTTTAGTCATAAAATGCCATTGACTTGTTTTTCCCTCGTAGGTTTCTTTTTTTAAACTCTTGGGTGAGTACTAGGAAACAGTGCAACTAAAATAGCCTCTAATAACTCAAGAAATAAACTACTTTTCTAGAAAGTGTAATTTTGAAGGTATTTGCATGATTTCAGATAGGATAATTTCTTTTAAAACTCTTGAACATATGCTATGTGTCAGATACTGTGCTAGGTTCTGAAGATGTAAAAGGTCCCTGTGAAGTCCTTGATCTTACAGCTTAGAGCCTGTAGAGGGAGAGACATCATGAATGTGATTATAGTACAGTGCAGAAATGCCTCACGGGAGGTTGTTGTGGAAGCTTGGAGGAATAATACCTTTTAAATGTAGAAGTTAGTACTGGAAAGTATTTCCTTTGGGTCTGGGAAGTGAGTAAAGATAGTGATACAGAATTATGGGAGAAGAGCATGCTAGGCAAAGGTAACTACATCTTCCTGAAAGTGGGGAATGAGAAGGTAGCACTGTGATTTCAGAAAGCTGAGTTCAGTATTTAAATGTTCAGTATTTGCTTAGGTGAAGTGTTAAATACCTCCTCTTTCTTCCCCTCTCCACCTAGTCTCCGTTCATCTTTAAGGAGTAGAAGTTTCCGTGACAAGGAAGTTTAGATACGTCTTTTTTATTTTCTTTCTTTCTTTTTTCTTTTTCTTTTTTTTTTTCTTTTTACAGTAGCTGAATTAATTAATTTACTACTCTCTAACTTACATGCCCTTATTATTTTTAACCAAAGCAAAGGGATTGGTAGAATTTAGATTTAAGGCTAAAAGGTTGGGCACAGTGGTCCATGTCTATAATTCCAGTACTTTGGGCAGGTCACTTGAGGTCAGGAGTTCGAGACCAGCCTGGCCAACATGGTGAAACCCCATCTCTACAAAAAATACAAAAATTAGCCAGTTGTGGTGGCACATGCCTATAGTCCCAACTACTCAGGAGGCTGAGACAGGAGAAACACTTGAACCCAGGAGACAGAGGTTGCAGTGAGCTGAGATCGCACCACTGCACTCCAGCCTGGGCAACAAAGCGAGACTCTGTCTCAAAAAAAAAAAAAAAAGAAAGAAAAGAAAAGAGAAGAAAAGAAAAAGGATTTAAGGCTAAAGTCTTATCTATAAATTTTACATAATTTTTTGTTACCTCTAAATTTTAATATTAGCGAACTATTTCAAATGGATTATTAAAAATATGATAGCCTCTTTTTTTACAAACTCTTTATGAAGCTGGTTAGCTTTTTTGCTTTTTCTGTTTTTTTCTGCTTCTGTGTTTTACTTTTAACTTTATAAACACTGTCATTTAGTGGAAAGGCCTGAAATGAGGGTCCTGCCGTAAGGTTTTTCAGATAATTCATACTGGAAAGAAATCTTGTAGATGTAACTTGATGTAAGGCTTTTAATGTATATTCTAGTCTTTGTAGATTTCAGATACAATGAATGAGGAAACTCTTCAATAAAACCATTGTATCAGCCCTAATGAACTTCAGAGCATTCATACAGGAGGCAAACCTTTCGAAGATTATGAATTTGACAAGACATTTAGAAAAAATGTTCAAGACTTATATCAGGAAACTCACCTAGGAAAGCGTGTAACAAATGTGCCATGGTTTTAGTATCAAACTTTCTTCATGTAAGGGGATTACTACCATAGAGCCAGTGTCAATGCAGGCATGTCAGCCTGTAGCCAGTGTTACAAACTTCCTAGTCATACATTCATATTGTGAAGAAAAATTTACATCAGATGCAAATGCGTAAGTTATCAGAACTCATTTATCAAACTCATGAATATCAATCTGATCAAATGTATGTGACCACAAACAAGGTGTTTTATTTCACAGTAATTGGCAAATCATCAGTCAGTGATTTTCAGATTGAGGCAGAAAAATCACAGTTGGCATTGAATTCACCATAGCCTTTCCTGGGATAGCATGAGGTTCTCATGATACTGAGTCACTGTAATGGAAGATTGGATGTTATTCATAACCCACTTCCATTGAATGCTTTAATGCTATAACATTTGAAAATGCAATATCGTAATTGTAAATTAATGAGTGGATTTGCACATCTGAAGAACATAAGAGGTATCAGACAAAGGAACATTGTGGTTACAGAGTATTGTCAGAAAAGAGAAAAATGGAAGAAACATGACAGCATTTGAAGGCCTGATGACCTTAGAACAGGAAGTGGGGATTGTAGGATTTAGATTGAAGAATTAGATTAGTAAAGAATCTAAGTATAATTACTTGTCAGAAAGAAACTGACCACTGAATAGCATCAAAGGGGTTGCCACACAACTATTTTCTGAAATGATACAACTTCTTGTTATTCAGGTAGTGAATAATTCGATTCAGTCTTAAACTCATAGCTACATTGTCCATTATCGTAGCCATGTGCAGCTGTTGAGCACTTGAATGTGACTAGTCTGAATTGACATGTGCTATAGTATAAAAATATATACCACATTTCAAAGAGTAAGAAAACAGAATAAAATATCTCATCAATGTGTTATGATTACATGTTGAATGGTAATACTTTTGATATAGTAGGTTAACTATATTACTGAAATTGAATTCACCTGTTTATTTTTTACTGTGGCTACTAGACATTTTAAAATTACTTATGTGGCTTGCATTATATTTCTGCTGGACAGTTGAGCTCTATAGAAAGCAAATTCTCAGAAAGACTGCTTGGATCAGAAAAACCAAAACCTTTTGAGGAGTTTAAAGATTTGTTTTCACCAAGAATGTCTGGATTTTTGTAACATTTCATTGTAGAGGCTTTCTCGTGCTTCACTTAATAAGTATTAGTGCTTTTACAGTTGTGTGTGCTAATTGTATGTTAATTAATGTTTGGTTGTTGAAAAGATTCACAAGATTTCACTGTTTATAGGCAATGTCCATTACAGCGACAGTAGTAAAATGATACTCATTGAAGTGATCTGGAGATCTTGGGTCCAGGCTTCTTGGCCTTGGACATGATTTTTCTGTAGATGTGAAACCATTACTGGCTTATGTGTAAAGCACCTTGGTATGAGGAAGTGGTAGGGATCTGTGAGAGGGTCACACAAGCATCTCCATCTACATAGCCAAGCTCAACCTGTGGACCTCCCCAGGCGCTGCCAAAGTCAGATGCACCTTGTCAGTCCAGTTATTATTACAAAATCGCACTGACAAGCTGGTATATTCTGCCCCTTAAACAGCTCAGGATCCCATGATCACAAACATCACTTATCTTGGCCATAGCTTTGGCCAAGTGTCAGTACCGTGCTTCGGGCAGCCCTAGAGATAAGCGTGGGGTCAATCTAGAACAGCCAAGAGAAACCCAGGCTATACAGTGTTGAATAAGACCAGTCATCTAGAAACATGGCAGTGATAATTCAGAAAAATAATGACATAAAATTCCAAATTCTACTGGAGAAATCGCCTGTTTAGGAGAAAGAATGACATTTACACCAGACTTTTCATCAGCAGTGCTGGATGCAAGAAGATATTGGAACAGTATCTTCAAAGGACTCAGGGAAAATAACATGTACCTTAGAAGTCTATATCTGATAAACTGTGAATCAAGATAATGTGAAATGAAGGTATCTGCAGAGAAGTAGTGACATAGAAAGCTAATAGCATGGGCTGTCTTTGAAACAATTAGATGATATAATTCTGCATGGAAAAAAGTGAGCCCAGAAGAAGATACTGTAGCAGGATGCAAGAGACAGTGGTCCATTGTCATACTTGCTGCCTTGTATGCTGTCTTGTACCTCTCTTAATGTCCCCGTAGTCTCTTGAATCTACCACCATGATTTAATCCAACTTTCTGCCTATTCTCCATCTGTCGCCATCCTGTGATTGGTCTCATTCTAGATTTGCAACCTTAGTGCTACCCAGCTGTCAAGCTGTATCCCTCCATCTTGTTCTCTCCTAGACAACCATTTCAAACTTCCTCCACTTTCATGAACTGCAGCACTTGAAGAAGTCCACACATTTCTATGTCTTCCCTTTCCCCAGCATTTGTACCTCACTTCTCTGTCTTTAAACTTCTTGCTACAAAATAACCACCCAGTGCTCCTGTCAAAGGGTTACCTCATCTTTTAGTCACTTAGATCCATTTGCAATCATCCTTTATTCCTCTTTTGCTCTCAAGCCATATCCAATACATTAGCTAATCCTGTCCACATTATCTTCACAAATATATCCAGAACCTACCCATTTCATATCGCCTCCACTGCTACCCCTTTCTTTGAGCTCCTCTCCAGTAGCTGCCTTAAAATGTCTCTTCCATACATTATGGCATGGTATTCTAACTGACATCTTGTTTCCCTACTTGCTCTCCTTAGTCTGTTGATAACCCAGCAGCCAGAATGATCCTGGAGAGATAAAAGCTGGAGTACTTCACTCCTCCACTCAGAACCTGGTTTCATTTAGTCAACACGATCCTTCGAGAGTCTCACCCATCTCCTCTACCCCATCCCATCGTGCCCTGTCACCTTCTGTCCTAGTCACTCACTTTTTCTTTATTTCCTGTTTGTCTAACATGCCAATCACTGAATCAGTGATTTGCTTAAAACCCCCCAAGAGCTCCCCATTTCTTCCAGACTAAAAGCCAGATTCCTTTTGTGGCCTACAAGGACCTACAGGATCTGGCTTCTTGCTTGTTCTCACTCTGCCCTTACTAATTCTGCCTCCAGGGACATCCCAGTCTAAGAATGCTCCCTTATGGCTCACCATTTCTGTTCTTCTGTCATTGTTTTATTTTCTTCA